AGTTACTGTTAATACGGCGGTGTAAAATTACGGCAGTAGATACGAATTGATTTTTATTACTTCCACATGGCGGCTGACATCTGTTCATCCCGGGCGCACAAATCGGCAATTTCTTCTTCCTCTTTGAATGTTTGCTGCATTGCTGCAGTTCCGGATCGAATGATTCGTCTGAGCTGCCACACGCAACACGTTTCCATCTGCCGATACCTTCCATTTCCCTTAAAAAGATTACACAAACTTACTAACTGTAAGATAAAATGATCATTCGAACGAGGCAGGTTTGACAACTATTTGAGTGAAAATTCATCATTAATGAAGGCTTTATATATCAGTTGGACGTTTATGTCTGACTCAAACCAGAATCATCGTACAAACGATCATCGAAATTAATTACCATCCTTTACACAATGAAACTGGATATGCTTCGCATTCGAAGTACTCCGAACCATTTCGCGGATTGCCATAGCGTATTTGCATGGGATTACACACGTCTCCATCAACGATTGTGACTGAAAGGGCACATTACAATTTCATGCTGCAATAGCGAAAGCTTTAAAAGCCATAGTTTAAATCTTCCACATTCTCAGTTAGTTAAAATCATAATTACTTTAAATTTTACTCATTTTTTATTTTATCCAAAATTAGCTTCGCAGAAGGTAATCTGGTTTCACCAGTCTAGGTGAAAGACGAAGTCAGCCGTTTTGGTACTGTCGCGAGACCCGACGTACACTGTTCTCAGTCCTGACAAAGAGCACGATTAGAGGCTCTGACCTCAACGAGTCATAAGAATAAATTGACAGGAGTACGTAAAAAAGGAAGTAATTCTAGAATTCCAATAACAAGTATCATAAACCAGGATTGAAAGGACAGACTAAAGCACAAAGCAGAACTGTTTCACTGACCATCGCGTGCAAGTAACTCCGAGGCCTTTTGCTCATATCTTGAGAGTGAAACTAAACAGTGCCACTCCTCGACATTGTGCATGGCTGATTTCTACCCTAATCAGGGACAGAAAGCGTGCGTCAGTTTCATTCGTGAAACCATCCTATCAATGCCTGAAACATGGCCAAATATTTGACTCGGTAGTTTAAGTGTGATATCGGTCCCTCAGAAACCGAAATTGTCACTAAAGACTTGTATCATTCTTGTAATACGAACGACAGTCTGCACTAACAGCGGTTAGTTGACAGATACAATTCCATGGAACTGGCAATGACGCAGAAAGCAGACGGGTGTCATGCATATGGAAATAATGAGTTTGGCCAATACAGGTTATACCACAATGGGAACACCTGCTGAAGAGAATATGTTAAACAGAACAGCCTGGATCATAATGATGCAGTCATATGCCCAAGACTGACAAATCCTTAAATTTACTAACGTTGAGGTTACAGCTCAATTTGGAACACAATTTGATACAGACCTATCTTTGACCAATCTAGCATTAATATTTATCGGAACTTGGTCGTCAAATGAAAATTGTGGAATGAACATAAAATGGATTCTATAAAAACAGCATCACATTACAAATGGCATATTTCTTCCAGAGGTATGATGATATGAACGCTCAACCTTTGGCAGCATAATGCATTGAGATTTTCCGACATTGAAAATGAATGTGGTGAAAAACTGTGTAAAGCAAATTTTTTCTTCATTTTCTGATATCGACCAGCTTGCAGAACTTTCATGTAAAATGCTGCTGAACTATACTCAGAGAGTAAAAGACGCTGTAAGAGATTGTATAACGCTCTCTTTGAAAATTAATACACACGGTAGTGCCGATTCCTTCCGTTCAAGCTTGTAGTCATAGGCTGCTTCTAAATAGAACTGCCATAAAAGAAATACAAACATTTTTCCATTATAGTTAATAGTGCGTTGTTAGCCGAACGTCTAAAGATTCACGGTTGAATCAGCGGCTCAGAAGTGTAGGGTCCGTCGTACCTTGTACCGTCATTTCCTTCAGATCTTCTTTCGCTGCTTGCTTCCCTGGTCATGAATAACCCTGTTTTACAGAGAGCGTAACAGAAGTCAGAATAAACGAAATTAATGACTACATGAGCGTATACTGAGGAACAGTATGATTTTCAATGTCTAAAATTTTTACAGAAAATATCAGTATTCCGTTCAAGGCATGTAAACGTTGAGCACCGAAATCAGTTGACATCAATTCTTTAATATTTTCCTTATGCATATAAGCCGGTAAATACCGTGAAATCAAGTTGCGGAAAAGCGCAGCGTGATACGTGTACATAATGTCGTGAATCATATTGCAAACTTAAGGTCAAGAAATAAATTCATGAAATAATGTATGTCAAGCAGTCATCTCCGACGTTGCGTGGGTTAACGAACGAACTTACCAACACATTTGACTAATTCTTGGAAACTAGTGGACAGCGTTTAAGACTGAACCAATTATAAATTCCTTTGTTGAAAAATGCATGCAACACTAACAGGCTTGTTTGCTGCGGGTGAATTTGGTGATTCAGCAATGAAGCTGCGGCAGTCCAGAACGTTTTAAAACAATTCAACGAATACACATAAGGCAGATTATGAATGGACTGCCATTACAATAAAAACAATTATCACTGTTTCATAAAAATGCTATCATGAGTAGCGTGTGATCAGAATAAAACAAACAAAGAGAGACTGTGGAAACAAGACCAAGAAAACGTTCGACACGACGCAAGATATGAGAGGCAACGCGGTACATTGGGAAGCAAATATACATTATTCAAACCATTATAATTGAATTAGACAGAGACAAATGGTTGAGTAGTACTTCACGCGATTAACCAGTTAAACAGAAGATAACTGACGATTATGTACTATGCATTCACATTAACTCATGAATGATTTGCAATCGATCAATATTCATGTAAAGGAAGTGAAAAGGCATGAACTTCATTTTTCGAAGGCTAGATGATTTTTGAGCATTGTAAACATGAAACGAAGAGATTTCACCCTCGTTACGGTAACTCTATCATTAATTTCATGCGTTGTTCGACAATAAAAAATATTCGACACTAACGCTGCTTTGTCACGCTACCTTGCGTATTGCAAAAATTTGATTCACGAGCTACAGATGAAACGCAAGAAACAACCGACACGACGCTAATGATGAATCAGAACCGCTTATTGGCTACATATTATACATGCGCACATAAATCTGAACTTCAACCTTTCTCAGGTAGTACAAGCAGCCACCAAAGTTTACATCACAAGCTAAAATTTTGCGGCATATACAAGGTTGAGATCACATACCAGGGCGACGTAAGGTATATTATGTACTCTATAAATGCTACAGTAACCAAAACACTAGGGCCTGCAATCAAATCAGAAAAGGTAGAAAAGCATAATCTGGAGGTGATGTGACGGAACTTCCTCTCCTTCAAGAAAGGTAACCTAACTTTAACCCCGAACAGATGGACTAGAGGTTAATGTCCGTACTGGTGCAACGTGAGTCATCTGACATTTGGTATAAGGTCATATGACGCTCATCATACCTGAAGTCAGCGAAATGGCGACAGCACAGAATGGCAAGAGAGCGAAAACCACATTTGCCGCTAAAGGGAGCATGGCGTACAGTCGAATCAGTAAAACACTGGCACGCCGATGGGCTTCTCTTTATATTACTGGTCCAGTTTGATGCATCTGGGTGAAAAGCGTACTTCACCTCGCCATCTTCGGGAATAGGCAGGCGAACGTTGCACCACGCAGGTTCATTGTTGTTGGTCGTGCCACTTCCTACTCAAGTGTTTTCTGACAAGGAACAGTGCGTTTTGAGAATCAGTTCGGGTAAATACGCAACACTTCAACGCCGGCTAGCGACATCCAGTGTCTGTCGTCACAGACAGCGATCGACAGGTAAAATCTGTTCACCACGTCGTGCTCGAAATACATATTTGTCAAAGGCAGTACTCCACGTGAATATTTGCACATTACTAAACTCCAGTGAAGAGTTGTAAATTGCTGCAATGATCAATTTAGCATTTTCGATTGCTTTAAGTTTGATAAGTCATACTTCAAACAGCAGAGCTCTTCTTTCACTTCATGATATCGTTCCCATGTTATTTGTAATGATTAACTCGCTCAAATAACGAGAATCAGTGAGGCCGTGTCCAGAAGCTAACTTTCTTGGATATAGAAAGATCAACTCAAATCTGTGGTCAGCTGAGTTCTGGTCCTTTGTGAATGCGCATTCAAATAAATGTACAGAAAAAACTGACTTTCGTACCAACTGCTGAAATGTTGATTAGTTGTACCGTATGAATGTTTACACATTTTTGAGCAACAGAAAGGCTGAACATGTGAGTCACAGTCGAGAAGAGGGTGGGCGAAAAGACTCAAGCTGAATAGTAAGGCATAGGATGATATGGGATAACACACTTTTCACGGTACAAAGCCTGTCTATTACCACTGGAGAAAGTCCATTAGAATGCGAGATAACGTTTCTGAAACTTTGTGAACGCATGTAACATGCAAACATTAGGCGAGCTAGCAGAATGGACACCCGTACAGGTATAGAAGGAATGTAAAGTCCAACATATGCGTACTTTCAGCGTGCATGCCAATTGCAGTGCAACCATTTCAAGAAGTTGCCCGGCTACCGACAATTCTGTCGATGAGATGGCTCTAACAGAATTAAACCACCACCCCTGACAAATTAACTGATCGCTAATAATTACAGAATGTAGGTAGGTCTGTAACGATAATAACATAACAGCGTGCGTAAAATGGCAGGATATGTGACAAAGCAATTGCATTCGCATTATGGTGAGGAGCACTTTACTAGCAGTTTCTCTTCACAAAGAAGAAAGCTCATGGAGTGTTTCTGTTCACGCCTTTAACCTGAAGATAATAGGTTAAATCTGACGACAGCGTAATTTTAAGATACTCTACATGATCATGTACATCTTCAGAGATAATATTTGTAAAAACGTCTTCGTGTAGTTTCCATTCAGCGCTGATTTAATCACGACGGCTCAGCCTAATTCAGGCAGAACGCCGCTGGACGTTTCAATTCACTGCTGGATCTTTTTCTCCCCAATTCCATCACTAGTAAACACGACCCGGAGCTACGGGAAATTTTCCACCTGTGCCACTGCTTCACCATTTATTTGCAGGGCAAAAAATGCAGGCGAATAAGAAAGCACTAAGTATTTCGTTTCAGATATGTTCACGCGTATTACGGACACATAACACTCGGCTGCGAACCTTTCCCGAGAGCACTGAAGATCAGTTTCAAAAGAGCATCAAACAAAACAAGGTTGCCAGCATCAATCTTTTCGCTTTTACATCTGATACGCTCGTCGCCCTGGCTGCGACTGACTATTTTATCCATGTACGACACAAACAAGTGGGGACGGAAAGCAACCGTGGCGGAAACCAGTGAAAACGTTGAAAGGACTCGAATTAATAGCTACTGTGACGCAGCAGCTGATATCTACATAGAGTGAAGTGATTGCTCGTAGCAACTGGCCATTCACCCCATATGCCTAACCCAAAGACTGGTGCACGAGATCTGGTCATAGGCTTTCTCTAGATCAAGAAGGCACATATAAACCGGATGAACTAACTTCCATGGTTTTTTAACGATCTCACGTAAGGCAAAAATCTTACCAGAGGTGCTCAGGTCTCACCTAAAGCCACCCTCCTCTTCTTCTTGGATACTAGCGTAAACTATTATTGCTCTACGTGGCAAATTTTTCAAAGTCTGCTGTGAGGATATGACCGGCACAAACTTCACGATCAGAGACGATCGAAATAAGCGCTGTGATCTGCTGCGCTTTTTCTCATAACTCGTATCACTGACAGTGATAATATAAACCTTATATTTCGAAACTTGCATTATCACTGAACAGAGTTAAAAGTGGCTAGACAAAATGGGTTAAAAAGAACTGCCTTCATCTCATTTAATCGAGTTCAGCGTAAGAGTGATAGACTAAAGGGCGTGGATGGCAGCAAAAATCGCAGTATTTTCAACGGCAAGACGTTTTCAATATCATTAGACATTAGCTTTCATTCTGTTGATTATACTGCATGCATGCAGCCATCACCATCGAAACCCAAGTAAAAGTGCCGCATTGAAAACTTCATGGTGTATTAGTTATCAAATTTGAGACAGCTACCACAGTTATTGGCAGCAAATAAGTTACAGTTCAGCGATAAACTAAAATCAAAGGTGCACATGTCGATGTAGCGTTCGGCAGTAATCACTTATAAAATTTCGCACAAAGTAAAAATTGCTTCTTGATCGAAGGGACATCTACTTCCAAAAGTCAATTTAGAAATTTCGATCCCAACTGCCAAGCTTATTTCAATTTTCAGCATTGAATACAAAACGTCAGTAGTTGAAAAGACTCGGGCGTTTCTTGTCACTGGTTGACCGATGAGTCGAACGATTGTAGGCAGAAGCAGCCGCATCCGGTGGGGCACTGATCATTCAGTTGGAACCAGTCTTGAATGTGTTTGGTGTGGCCGCCGTGAAAGCAGCTACAGCAGGCAGTGCAAAGTCCTAAAAGAAGGTAAAAATCGTCTTGAACACAGCCGCATCGCCTACCTCTCACGATCGACTGGCAAATGCAGCAAAGCAGCGTGAAGGTTTTGCAGTTCTCGCACCAAGAAAAATTCGAGCTCGCACCGCAGTTATGACAGCGTACAATATAGTCTGCAACTAATAATCAATGAACGATCGGTAAAAATCACTCTAGTCTCCTCTGACTGAATTCATTACACCTAGTACTCACCTATATTTGATACCTGATCGGATTTTAGCGAGTATTTTAGAATGGACGCCCGTTCGTTAAAGCATCGCCACTTGTATAACAGGTCCGTGTAGATGTGCTTGATCAACTCGCAGCGCGCCGAATGTTCAGGATCGATCATGCTGTAGGTCATAGACAAGCGGCATTGACAAAGGTCGCCAAAACGAAAGTAAACAAATACCCTTCGGACTGAATCGACCGAACGGCGTCTGGACTGACGACGGACGTGCTGCTCATCAGCCTTCTCGGCGGGGCGCAGGTCACAAGGCGTTCCAAACTGCAGTCGCTTTCTACTTGCGACCATCGCGATGTCTCTGCTAAAACCAACATCAGCAATAGGCACAGTTGAAAGTGTAGATCAACAGTAACACCTGTCGCTTGTCTGCTACGAGATACTTCATGAAGAAATTGCCGTTGTTGTTGTCATCGTCATTTAAGGTATTAAGGACAAAGACAGAGTACCCAGATTAATGATGCTTGATGCATTGGTTTTATTTAATGGAACC